CACCCATCAACCCATCATCTAGGTTTTAAATCCCCGCGTGGATTAAGTATTTGTCCTAATGTTCTCCCTCCCCTTGTCCCCTACCCCCCAACAGGCCCTGTTGTGTGATGTTCCCCTCCCTGTGTCCATGTGTTCTCATTGTTCAACTCCCACTTATAAATGAGAACATGTGGTGTTTGGTTTTCTGTTCCTGTGTTAACCATCATTCTCAGTGAGCCAAATTTATTTTAACACATGACTTTTCTTGAGGTCTGAAGTCCACAACAGCAATACAATTGATACTAAAGCTTGTCTCTTTCTAACAATCAGTAATGCATGAACAACAAAAATGCCTGATCTATAGCATCAATTGGTATCTTACCAATAAAACATTACTTTTGTGTTGAACATAGATTATCAACAATTTTATCATATTGTTTATTCAATCAATGGTATATTAATAGGAAATTCACAACTAAAAGAGAATGTTTTCACCTGTGAAACCGTGTGGTCACAGGAAATTTAAAAATCAAAGTTTGCTACAGTAAGTGTTATAGATTATTCATAAAGAACTTTCAAAATAAAATATCTTAAGATACGGTTTTTTTGTAGAAATTGTGGCCTAGAAGTAATAGTTGAAAGAGAACAAGGAATAAAATAAATTTGTTGAGTTTCTTTTAAATGAATATTCAGAAGTATCAACTTGCTGTGGTATTACTCTCTTGGACTTGAGTAAAAGTGGTATTTTATTTAAGGGCACTTTTACCTAATTTGCATGTCATATACTGGTAATGCCAGTGACTTAAACTTATGAGGAAAATTTAGATTTTTAATGAAGGATGTAAGAGATTAATTTTTTTAAAAATATTCTTTTAAGGATGTGCAAGTGAAATTTTGCACCAAAACTAAGCACTTGACTCTGAAGTAAGGTAGAGGTTGAGGATGCACAGAAGAGGAGAAAGTGTAGTGAGTTACAGGAGGTTGAGTGTAGACACCTTTGTGGGAGTGTGTGTGACGGGGAGTGCAGGAAGACACGGTTTTCAGGCTTCTGATAATGAGTGACTAGAAACTACTTACAGACATGTGAATCGGTAGACTGGGGTAGGTGTTTGGGGGTTGTAAAATGTTCTGGTTTTATTTGAATTCAGTATCCTCTCACAAGAGTCACAGTTCTGTTATCGGATTTTTGCCAGATTATTTTATTGGGCCAAGATAAAGGACATTCTTTGTGACAGCCTTATTGACCACAGCAAATCAGGGCCCACCATTCCGTGGGGGCTGTTGGCACTGTTTTTGTATGAATGCAGGGGTGCATGGAGATGCAACTACAAAGACTGGACCTTTTTTTTTACCACTCCTTAGGGAAAATGGTCTCGCATCCTCTTGGTTTATATTATTTGGGATTTCTCCTCTCAAATTACATCATGGAGTATTCAAACTCAGCGTTTTTTGTATATTCTCTACCTATCATTTTTTTAAAAATATTAAATAAAATGATAATTTGCACAAATTTCTGGAAATCTCCACTCTTCAGCTGTCATCCTTCAGTTAACGAAGGACCAGATAAACTTTAATATTAATATTTATTTCAGTCCTCACTTTTCTTTTTACTCCTAATTTCCACTCATACATGTTTATCTCCTCTCTTTCTTTTTGTTGTGGCAATATATCTTCTTGGCAGGCTATTTTTCAAAACATACACACATATAATTATAATATATATATATACACACACACATATAGTGTCTAATTTGTCAGACACTATACTAAAAAAAGTTCTAAAAAGAGAGTGTTTACAATAAATGAGCCTATAGCATAGCCAAAAAAAAAAAAAAAAAAAAGAGATGTGAGCAATCAATCAAACTAGCCTAAGATAATTACAAATTGAACCAAATACCATTTTCATGAAGAAAGAGGTCCTCATGAGGAATTTGGAAATTGCTACTGTAGATGGTGTCAGCTCAAAGAAAATTTCTGTTTCCGTTGTGTGAACCAAGTTGGAATTTTTGGCTGGGTGCAGTGGCTCATACCTGCAATCCAAGAACTTTGGGAGGCTGAGCATGAGGACCACTTGACCCAAGACTTCAAGACCAGCCTGGGCCATATGACGAGACCTTGTCTGTATAAAACAACAACAAGGAAACAAGAAACAAAAAAAGAAAGAATAAAGCTGAGTTATTCTTGGCAGAAATAAAGTTTGTAAAAGATAGTTCAGGTTATTAAAACCAATTCTAGAAGCATGTTTTTTGGTGAAATTAAATGCATTTTATTTAAAATATGCAGTGAGATTCAAGTTGAGTTATGAATTTATGAGGCTAAAGCTTTTAAGAACTTTTCAGAGATGATAGTTTTGCCAGATATTCTAAGAGTATTTAGGCTGGAGAACAGTATTATTTTTATCATTGGGTTAAATATTTGAGTATTCACATAAATTTAGAATAATTGCTTCAACCTAAAAAATACTTGACAGAAATAAAGCTAAGGATTACTTTTAAATTAGCAATTTTTCTTCACATTTTAAACTTCATTGTTACTGTTGTGGCAATATCAAAAAACTTGCGTTTTTCAATATATTTTCACATAGCACTTGTAAATCACTGAGAAAAGACTAATAAGATGTTTGTAACATTTTGGTTATGCCTGACTCAATTATAACAAACTTGTATAGAATTTGAATGTAGGTTGGGTGCAGTGGCTCATGCCTGTAATTTTGGGAGGTCAAGGTGGGAGGATCACTTGAGGTCAGGAGTTCAAGACCAGCCTGGCCCACGTGGTGAAACCTCATTTCTACTAAAAATGCAAAAATTAGCTGGGCATGGTGGCAGGCATCTGTGTCCCCATAGTCCCAGCTACTTGGGAGGCTGAGGCAGGAGAATCTCTTGAACCCGGGAGGTGGAGGTTGCAGTGAGCTGAGATCACGCCACTGCCCTCCAGCCCAGCAGCCTGGGAGACAGAGCGAGACTTTGTCACAAAAAAAAAAAAGAAAAAATAGAATTTAAAATATATCACTATGATTCTGAAAAAAACTATGGTCTCTCCAGTAAATTCTTCCCAGCTCAATAAACTAATCAATTTGATCAATTTTCTTGGTGATTGATTGTAATGAATGATAGCTACCAAAGCTTCATAATTAGAGAAACGGTTCTAGTTTCTAATTTTGTGTAATTTATTTTAAATCATCTTGCACTTTTCAAAGAATATATACCCACATACAATTCAGACTTTGCATATATTTTCAGTATATTTACAAAGTCCTTGAAGTCCACCCTGGTAATAGTATACTACTAGTAGTACTGTTGCTGTCACTATTACAATTGTTACTACTCCTTCTTAAGTAACTACTGTATTCTAGGCCCTTTTCTAAGGATATGAATAGGTGGTCTCCTTTAAGACTTGTTAAACTGTTGGTGGGACTATAAACTAGTTCATCCATTGTGGAAGACAGTGCAGTGATTCCTCAAGGATCTAGAACTAGAAATACCATTTGACCCAGCCATCCCATTACTGGGCATATACCCAAAGGATTATAAATCATGCTGCTATAAAGACACATGCACACATGTGTTTATTGTGACACTATTCACAATAGCAAAGACTTGGAACCAACCCAAATGTCCATCAATGATAGACTAGATTAAGAGAATGTGACACATATACACCATGGAATTATGCAGCCATAAAAAAAGATGAGTTCATGTCCTTTGTAAGGACACGGATGAAGCTGGAAACTGAGCAAACTATCATTCTGAGCAAACTGTCACAAGGACGGAAAACCAACCACCACATGTTCCCACTCATAGGTGGGAATTGAACAATGAGAACACTTGGACACAGGGTGGGGAATATCACACACTGGGGCCTGTCGTGGTGTAGGAGGAGAGGGGAGGGATAGCATTAGGAGATATACCTAATGTAAATGATGAGTTAACGGATGCAGCACACCAACATGGCACATGTATATGTATGTAACAAACTTGCACGCTGTGCACATGTACCCTAGAACTTAAAGTATAATAATAATAAAAAAGACTTGTTAAACATTTTTCTGAACGTATTAGTGCAGTATGC